CTAAATACCATGCCCTGTTCAATAGGGCCATGAGTTTGTGGTGCAATGGGAATGTCTCTACCTATGAGACAGAGGTCTGGGTTCAAATCCCACCTGTCTTGAAGGTGTGAATGAACAGGGATGATGTAAAAAAAAGTATGAATAGTTTTAATTGACTTGGTCACTGCAGAAACATTTTAGAAAGCTGACTGTATCTTGACTGACTTTTTTTACCGGGTTATTTGGGGTGGTGGGGAGGTGGGGTTAGTGGAGCCAATGCTGCACTTCCCTGCAAAATTAACCTGTGCCTTCCCAATTACTCTTTCTCAACTTGGATGCTGGACCTTGTCCTTTGACCTAGGGTTTTCAGTATGATGTGAACTAAATGGATTGGCAATACTAGAGAGACTTGACCGCTGTGTAATAATGTAACAACATCGTAATACACCTCAATCCAACGCATTTACGTGTTTTTAGATCACAATTTTATGTAAGGTTCTGGAGCCCAGGCGTAGGAGGGCCAAAGGAGCAGTACCATTTGTGGGATGTTGTACAACTCCCTCAAAGGAGATAACATAATTTGAACAAGTTGAGTGAGTAGGCAATGCATGGCAGACGAAGTATAAGAAAAACATGAGGTTATTTACTTTGGTAGCAACAATAGGATCAGCTAAGTGGCGATAGATTGGGAAAGGTGAAGGTGCAATGAGAGCTGGGTATGTTTGTTACCCAGTCGCTGAAAGTAGATTAAAATTGAACAGGATAATGTAGGCACTGTTGTCTTTATTGTCTATGACTAATTTCATCCCAGGTGAGATTAGTTTTTTTGTTGCCTTCAGTCCTCCTGACTTCACAATATTCAAACAGTGCATTCTCCGTTGTTCTCTGCTAATCAGAAACCTCCTTTATCTTTCTCCAATCATAGTGTAATTTGTTAGAGAGCTGTGGAGATTCCAACACAAATGGATTTGGATAAGAGAGTGATTCATTATCTTCACATTCTCATGTAACACACTCACTGACAGGAGGTTCTTGGACCAGTGTTTTTGCATTCCTGAATGTCGCTGTCAAAATAAGGCAAATATCAGGAGAAACATTTATGATCAGTAACAGGCAGCCAAATTGCAAATCCACTTAAACGTATGGAGCTGTGTTTATGTCTAAGAGTGGCATGCTGTAAAACAGGTCACATCTCCAAAGCAGATTGAGTGACTGTCACCGCTAATGAGTCATGCTTGCCATCTCTTTGTTTATACTTATATGTGTCCAATAAATTTCCATCTTCCATATATATAGGAGCTGAACACCCCTGTACCAGGCAGTAAAACAAATCCTACTATCACTGCTTGTCAATGTATGTGATACAACAGTGGCAATGTTCTCTTGCGATCATCCACCCTGATGTTTCAGCTAGCAAAACATGAAAAGAAAAATAGATTTTGACTTGGAAATGGGGCCTATTTTGCTGAACATTTACTGTTAGATATTAAAGAAAGAAGTTTTTAATTTCTAGAAGGCCCTCCATGCATGCCAATTTCTTACTGAATTTCCTGCATTAAAACAGTGACTGCACTTCAAAAGTGCTTCACTTTGGCAGGCACTACATAAATGAAAATTCTTTTTTGCATGGAAGAAAAGTCAGGCTGGAGCTGCATGAAATTCTTTTTCAAAACCATTCTTGAAATTCTTAGAATAGCATTAATATGCTCTAGCTATTAATTCTTAAACAGTTCAACACAATTAATGCTTAGTGTAGCTGCCATTTTGTGACCTGAAACTGCAGAATTATCTGCAGCACCTCAACTTACTTATGGTTCCCAATGAGCTGTCATGGCCAAGATCCAGGTCTGCACAAGCCTTCAGATTGTGCGTGGCAGTGCAGACTGTAAAAGAGGGTGAGATTGTCTGTTCCAGAGGACCCTCATATTGTTCCCTTCTGAGACCAGACTGAGAGCTTGTAACAGAATTATGCTGTCACTTCTGACTTACTGTGAAGCAACAATCATTAACAATGCAGAGATGGCAATAGTTCTCACAGTTCTGCCTTTGATCCATACAATAACTTTAGAGCACATGACTGATCTGTAATGCTGACATATTCTGGCATTGTATCATTTGGCATCATGCATGATGCATTCTCGCTCCATTGAATCATGCATTGGCTAAAAGATTTGTTGAGTTGGTCCAAATTCACAATAGGAAACAATAGCTAATCCTACGGGGGATTTTAAATATCCGAATTGATTCCAGTGTTTGTCACAATTCGGATAAGGGGAGTATTATTCTTCTCATGACAAAGCCTTGCAAAACCTACGGATGAAAACAGACTTTTGTAACGTAAAGGTATAAATTGCGGACACAAATGAAACAATTCACTAAAAAAAGGTTGTAAAATCCAAAGATTTACTGAGGGCTGCAGTAACAATAATTAAAATTGGATTGTAAATGATTGCAGTTGTCAGGCTGTTGTAAGGGGTTTACTTTCAAAATGGTGTGGATGTATGTAGTGAAGAGATGAGGAACTGAAATTCACAGACCATATACACTGACAGCAATAATATTTCCATTGGCTTTCTATGTTCCTAGTGGATGGGACTCCTCATTAAGGCCATAAGGCAGAGGAGCAGAAGTTGGTCATTCAGCCTATCATGTCTGCTCCGCCATTCAATGAGATCACTGGTGATCTGATAACCCTCAAGTCTGTTTTCCTGCCTTTTCCCCATAACTCCCAATTCCCCTACTGATATAAAATTCTGTCTATCTCAACCTTGAATATACTTAATGACTCAGCTTCTACAGCCCTCTGCAGTAAAGAATTCCACAGATTCACTACCCTCTGAGAGAATACATTCCTCCTCACATCTGCATGTGCACTCTGAGATTATGCCTTCTGATCCTAGACACTCCCTCACAAAGACAAAAAAAAGTTTATATGTCTACTCTGTCAAGTCCTTTAAGAATCTTGTATGTTTCAATAAGGTACTAAATTCCAACGAGAATATGCCCTATCTATTCAATCTCTTCTTATAAGACAGACTCTCCATATCTGGCATCAGCCTAGCAAACCTACCAGACTGCCTCCGATGCCAATATACCTTTCCCTAGATAAGGAACCAAAAACTGTTCAGTGTTCCATCTGTGGTTTAACTACTGCCTTGTATCGTTTTGGCGAAACATTCCTTCTTCTGTTACCTTTGAAATAAAAGCTGCAATTCCATTTGCCTTTCCTACTACCTGTTGAACCTGGATGAGCTCATTAGGAGTTCTCAACCTAAACATTATTCTCATATCAGGTCTGCCCATTTCTGTTCACAAAAAATGAGGTGGTTGCAAGTGGGTTATAAAATGCTGGAAGGAAGTGTAGAAGACTTAGTAGATTTAGTTCCTCTAGTGCCATATGGGACAATGGACAGCAAGACTCTTCCACTGACCACAATCTATTGCAACCTCTTTCAGTCCAGCCAAAGTGGTGTCTCACTCTTAAAGGGTCTTCTTTGCCCAGCTGTGTCTTCTTTTTCCATCTTGAGATTTTTTACGCTCAGCAACAATGGTAGCCATCTCTGAGTTTACCGTGAATACACTTAGAATATCACAAACTCCCAAAACAGTGTCCTTGCTATTGGGTTTTAAATAGGTGTGTTGCAAATGAACTGATTTTGAGATGAAAGGGAATTGGGACAAAGATAGCTAATTAGCATTTCTCTCTGGTTCCATGGTTTCACATTATATTTCACATTGCTGTGTATAAGCATGGCAGAAGCCAATTTTGAAATCAGTTTACAGGCTTCCCCATAAATCAATGACCATCATAGGCTGATAGCAGGGGTTTTATGTAGTCGGCAGCATAAAAGGCAGCTTGACCTTTCAAGCTACCAATGTTGGATTCAGGAGAAAGATGGACTCTAGTTAAGTAGACAGATCCTTTGACCTTCCACAGAGTGTAGGAGACTTGGCCTGACATGGCCCAGGGAAGCAGAACCATCAGAACGAGCTTTACTGCTAATGTTTGATTTAAGAAATTCTATGAAAATTGAGGAAAGCCTATTGATGGTCATGTGAAGATGTTTCCACTTGCAGGTGATTCCAAAACTACTGACAGTAAATGTGAATAATATCAGAACTGAGAGGTTATAACTATGATGAGAGAATGTTTGCAGGTTTCTAAACACCTGCACAGACTTCTTTGGCCAAATGGTTGTAACTGCATGTAATTATAACTAACCAAACTCCAAATATTCCTGGTAAGTCAAGGTCAGGGTTCTAGCTCTGAAGTCGGAGTTGACATCTGCCAGGGTGCTTCCATCGGGTGGGTGTGGGTATACATTCCCCTACCCTGTTGTGTGGGCTGTAAGAGCCCTTTTGCTATCTTGGTCTTATCTGCTAGTAGGCTGATATGAAAATGGTTATGGGTGTGGAAAATGTGTTAATATTACAGCTTGTCAGATGTGATCAGCTTGTGAATCTTTCACTGCTGCATACTAATGGAATGTGTGAATAATGACAAAAAGCTTACAATGGATCTCTGGTAACAAAGAATACTATGAGCTTGCATTTAGGGTGTGCCTAACACATACCAAAAAATTAAACACCCTGTATGTCATCACGATTGCAATATCAATTGATGTGGAATCCACCCTCCAGCTTTAGGTCCCACAGCAGTAAGATATTCAGCTTTAGACATTGCTTGAGTGATAAATATTTGTCAGGACACTGGGTAGAATTCCCCTGCTCTCCTTCAAACAGTGTGATAGGATATTTTGCATTGACCTAAGAAGATGAGGCCTTCCTTGTTTCAACATCTCACCTGAAGATGGTACTGTACCTCTAACAGTGTAGCACTAACAGAGTTGGACTAGATCAAGTTCTAAAGTGGATCATGACTTAGAGACCTACCAGATGAGCAAAGGCTGACACCTAGATATCAGAGAATATAGGTGAGGAGGTGATGGTGGGAGCAGGGAAGAATATTGAATACCCAATAGATATTGCAATGTTGGTAACTTGTCTTCACATTGACACAGTTCCATGGATCACCAGCCCTCCTCGTGATGTGCACAATATTACAGGCAATGATATTATCTTTGGCTGTGAGGTGTTGGCATATCCCCTGGCCCTGGTGGAATGGAGAAAGAAAGGGAATGAGAACTTCCTTCCTGGGGATGATACGCATATCTCTATCCAGGTAAGAACTCTATTGCTATAGACTGCTTTGGAAATTAGATATGTGCTCTTGAACATTATAGTATCATTATTGTATTATTAGATATCATTACTGTGAGCATTATACTGTTATTTATCATATTAATATATTATAACACTTCTAATCAAATCTATCAAATATTATTATTGTTATTCGATATGTTCTTGAATATCGTTAAAAGGAAACATGATGCCACGGTTTTTTTTTATATCTGGGAATCATCAGAACAAATGCAGGAGGGCCAAATTTCAAAAATTATGCTGATTTGTATAGGAGAAAAGGTCTAGATTAGTTAACAAATCAACTCTGATTGGTTGAGATGCATCCATAGAGAAACCAATGGGTATCTATAGGCTCCCCAGGCTTCTAGATGGGGTATTCCTACACACAAGACAAAATGTGTCATTATCCCTGAGTTATTTCTCTCTCAAGGCACGAGGTGGGCCAGAACGATATGGTATCACAGGATGGTTGCAGATTCAAGGGCTGAAGAAGACTGATGAGGGGATCTATACCTGTTACACAAGGAACAAGTACGGAGAAGTATTCGCATCAGCACGTTTGAGTGTCTATGATCCTGGTAAGATAAATAAAGAGCATTCAACCAACAGGTCTTTTCCTGTCACGAAAATCTTTAGCATCTTTGTCACTGCTGGACCTAGTTCAAGAATTTTCTGTTGGATCATAGCTATCCTACTTGAAACTTTAGTATTCAAACTGATAACCACCCTATTGTAGTTTCAGGCTCAGTCTCAAACTCTGAGTAGAATTCAAAACCACTTACTGCAAAAAATGCTCATGCCATCACTTGTTCTTTTGTCAGATACCTTAAGTTGTATTCTTGCATTACCAACCCTTCAGCAATTGCAATAGTTTCTCTGTACTCACTCTCTCTAAACCCTTCATGAGTTTAAAAACTTCTACCAAATCTCTTCTGCTGTGAGGAGAACAACCCCAGCCTCTCCAGTCACTTCATGTAACTGTAATCCGCAGTCTAGAAGCACTCCTGTAAATGTCTTCTGTATCCTATGCAGGCTTTTGTAGTATAAGGGTTAACATCTGGGACTATGTGGATAGCACTGCTCATAATGAAGACGCAGATGAATTTATTTTATTTTATTCATTCCTGGGATGCGGTTGTGAATGGCTGAACCAGCATTTATTGCCTGCCCTTAGTGGTCCTTGAGAAGGTGGTGGTGAGCTGCCTTCTTGAACTGCTGCAGTCCACTTGTCAGTGGTAGATTATCAATGCCCATAGGGTGGGAATTCTAGGATTTTTACCCAGCAACACTGAAAGTATGGTGTTATATTTCAACGTCTGAATAGTGAGTGGCTGATCATGGTGTTAGCAAAATAAAACGGACAGATGTAAATGAGTTATTGTTTGAACTGACCAATCACTCACTAATCTCTCCAAAGTTAGACTAATATATAATACTAACTATTTTACAACTGTCAATAGCAGTCACATCCTTCCTATAGAGTGAAGCTCTGAATGTGACACATTACTTCAGCTGGGAAGAAACCAGTGTCTGTGTAAAATACATGTATAATTTTATATTTTTTACATTAGTTTTGCACATGTAGCTCACCTTTTTAATCTATCTGACTATTGGTCAAGCCTATTTATTTAAAACATGGCTGATCTGCGCCTGAACTCCAAATTATCTTAATACTTTTACACAGTGAAAATTCTAACCACCTCAAAATGTCCCAACATCCATAGCCATTTCGGGGAGAGAGTTGAAGTTTCTCCTACGTTTTGCGTGAACAAAGCGCTTCCTGATTTCAGTTTTGGGCATTTTTGTGGACATGATACTAATCAAGCAGGCTGCTTTGTCTCAGATAGTGTCAGGCTTCTTGAGTATTATTGGAGCTGCACTTATCCTGGCAAATGTAGAGTATTCCATCACACTCCAGACTTGTGCCTTGCAGACAGTGGACAGGCTTTGGGGTGTCAGAAGGTGAGTTACTCGCTGCAGTATTCCTAGCCTCTGACCTGCTCTTGTAGCCACTGTATTTATATGGCTAGTCCAGCTCAGCTTCTGGTGAATGGCAACCCCAGAGTGTTGATAGTGGGGGAAATTCAGTGATTGTTATGTCATTGAGTGTCAAAGGGAGATGCTTAGCTCATCTCTTATTGGAGATGGTCTTTGCCTGTCATTTGTTTGGCATGACTGCTACTTGCCATGTTTCAGCCCAAGCCTAGATATTGTCCTAGCTTGGCTGCACTTGGACATGGACATGGACTACTTCAGTATCTGAGAAGATGCAAATGGTGTTGAACATTGTGCATTCATCACGTCTTCACTATAATCTCAATGCAGCAGTACAGAGCAAGAATGCTGATGACATTGGAAAATGGTTATGGCAACTCACCAAGGTCACAACAACATCTCCCTCTACTACCACATTACCATAAAGAAGGAAAGAAACATTTCCACTTCTGACTTATGATAAAGGGAAGGTCATTGATGGAGCAGCTGAAAATTGTTGTGCTTAGGACACTATCCTGGGGAACTCCTGCAGAGATGTCCTGGAGTTGGACCAGATGACTGACCTCCAAAAAATATAACCATCTTCCTACGTGCCAGGTATGACTCCAACCAGTGGAGAATGTTCCACGATTCCCATTGACCCCAATTTTGTTCTGGTTCATTCATGCTTCACTTGGTCAAATGTGGACTTGATGTCAAGAGCTGTCACTCTCACCTCACTTCTGGAATTCAACTCTTTTATCCATGTTTGAACCAAAGTTGTAATGAGGTCAGGAGCTGGGTGGCCCTGGCAGAATCTGAGCATTAATGAGCAGGTTATTGCAGCAGGTGCTGCTTGATAGCTTGATAGGTTGATGACACCTTCTATTACTTCACTGATGCGTACTTTTAACATGTAGTTATTGTTGTCATGAAGGAAAACAACAGCCAGTTTACATGTAGCAAGGTCCCACAAACAACAGTCTGAAGCCAATCAGATAATCTTTTTACCTCTGTTAAAAGATAAATATTGGTGGAGATACTGGGGGAGAACTCCCTGTTATTCTTGCAATAGTGTCATGAGATCTTTTATATCCATCTGAGAAAGAAATTGAAACCTTAATTTAGTGCTTTATCTGAGAAACAGCATGTCTGGCAGGGCATCACCACTTCAGTACTGCTATGGGATTTAAACTCAGAAGTGTCTGATTTAGAAGCAAGCATGGTAATACTGGAGAATATTCCAACCTCTTCACTATAATCTTGATGCAGCAGTACCGAGGAAAAGGGCTGATGATATTGGAAAATGGTTATGGCAACTCACCGAGATTACAACACCATAGCCCTCTACTGCCACACTAGCATAAAGATGGAAAAAAACATAATGTATTTGGAACACCTCCAAATTTATTTTAATACTCACTCCATTCTGACTTGACCTAGGCTTCTCCAACTGCACCATCCAACCCGCAGCCTCTACTACTTTGAAGGACAAGTTCAGCAAATTCATAAGAAACCACCACTTGCAAGTTCCCATCCAAGTCACAGACCATCCTGAATTTGAGCTTTGTCTCCTTTTCTTAATTGGCACAATGTCAAAATCCTGGAACTTGCTTGTAAAAAACATAATGGGTATACCTGCCACACATGGATTGTAGCATCTCAAGAAGGTGGTCCACCACAACCTTCTCAAGGACATTTAAGGATAGGGATAGGCCATTTGATTAGAGTTCAGTACCAGCATGTTGTTGTGAAAATGAAGGATAAAGATGGCAAGATTGAGAAACCTTGGATGACAAGAGAAATTGAGAACTTAGTTAGAAAGAAAAAGGGAGCATATGTAAGAATGAGGAAATTGAAGACAGACAAGAATACAAAGATAGTAGGAAAGCACTCAAACAAGAACTTAGGAGGGATGAAAAGGGTCATGAAATGTCTTTGGCAAACAGGGATAAGGAAAAATCCAAGGCATTTTATACATAAGGAGCAAAAGGAAAGGAGAGGGCCACTCAAGCACAAAGGAGGGAATTTATGCATGGAGCCAGCGGAATTGGGTGAAGTCCTTAATTAGTATTTGCATCTGGATTCACAAAGGATAAGTACATGGTAGATGGGGAGTCTCAGGAGGGCTATTGACATGTCAATATAAAAAAGGTGTCAGGTGTTTTGAAAAGCATTAAGGCAGACAAGTCCCCAGTTCTGAAGAAGGGTCTAGGCCCGAAACGTCAGTTTTCCTGCTCCTCTGATGCTGCTTGGCCTGCTGTGTTCATCCAGCTCTACACCTTGTTATCTCTTTACCAGGAAGTTGCCTGTTTTTGAGAGTATTACCAATGAGGAGAGATTGGAGAAACTTGGATTGTTTTCACTGAATGTCAAAGGATGAGGGCCAACCTGATAGACCGGATGGTGGTGAGGCCTCTTTTGGACTACTGTGTGCAGTTCTGGTCGCCCTGTTATCGGAAGGATATGATTAAACTGGAGACGGTTTAGAAAAGATTTATTAGAATGTTGCTGGGAATAGAGGGTTTGAGATATAAAAATAGACTGGAAGGGCTGAGACTCTTTTCACTGGGATGTAGGAGGTTGAGGGGTGACCTTTTTAATTATTATTATAAAATCATGAGGGGCATAGATAAGGTGAGTGATAAGGGTCTTTCCCTGGGGTGGGGTGTTCAAAACTAGGGGACATATTTTTAAGGTGAGAGGAGAAAGATTTAGAAAGGACATTGGGGCAACTTTTTTACACCGAGAGTAGTTCGTGTTTGGAATAAACTGTCAGAGAAAGTGGTAGATGCAGGTACAGTTACAACATTTAAAAGACATTTGGAGGAGTTCATGAATAGGAAAGGTTTGGAGAAATATGGGCCACGCTGAGGCAGGTGGGACAAGTTTAGTTTGGGAGGAAAGTCAGCGTGGACTCATTGGACCAAAAGGTCTGTGTCCATACAGTTTGACTCTATACTCTAGATTATGAGAGGCATGCATAGAACGAACAGTTAGAGTATTTTTCCCAGGGTACAAATGTCAGTTAAAAGGGGACATAGGTTTAAAGAAAAGGGGTGAAATTTAAAGGAGATGTGACAGGCAAGCTTTTTTTTTACACAGAGGGTGGTAAATGCCTGGCACTGCCAGAGGAGGTAGTGGAGGTGGATATAACAGCACTTTTTAAGAGGTATCTTGACAAAAATATGAATCAGCAGGGAATGGAGGGATTTGGACTGCACAGATGTACAAGGTTTTTAGTTTAGGAAGTCATTGTGTTTCAGCGGAATTTTGGTGAGCCAAAGGGCCTGTTCCTGTGCTGCGCTGTTCTTTGTTCTAAATATTGCCTTTGGTGATACACCCTCTGGATGAAAATGTTTTTCTTCCCATTTCGACAAAACCTGCTTCTATGTCCCCAGTCATTGATCCCTCCAATTTATACATATCAATAATGTTTTGGGCCAGACCAGACCTACAAAATGTATTAAAAAGATAGTCTAGATTCTAATGTTTTCTTATTTTACAGGTAAGTGTACTGTGCTGCATTTCTGATGCAATTTGATTGTTGAAACTACCAGATTTGAAGCAAAACACTTCATTCATACACTCTAGTTAAAATACA